GGAAACCAAAAAGTAGTAAAGTGGGGAAAGTCGTGTAGTGACTTGAGATGTATCAAGTATTTTTGGGTTTCTCTGAAGAAACTTGACATGACCAGTGACACAAAACAAGTCACTTTAACTTCGCCGTCGAATTAGGTGCAGGAGGTCTTATCTTCACTTCCATGTACAATGTGCTAAAGCATCTGGGCTTGCGAGGAAATGAGCGTAAACGGTAACTTAAATGGGTAAAGCTGCTGAAAGAGCTTCGAGCTGGCTCTGGACGCAACGAACGTCGTGGGGGATGGGCCTCGGTAGACTGGTCCGAGTCCCTAGTCGAAAAGAACGCTTTATCCCTTTAAAGACAATGTGTGCGATAAATGTCTGCCGGTATCTCTCTACAATATGCCAAAGTCTAACAATTGTCCGATAAACCAACCATAAGCTTGTCACTCTGGTGGCAACAGTAGTCAACTGAGCTAATTTGCTACTGCAACCACAAAAAAAAAAAAAAAAACCGAATCTCACAGCGCCTGTTAAGTCACCATATCGTCTTGTCTCTTTCGAGTTCGACGAAGTGCAGCAGGGGGAGATCGGGGCCTGGCTTCATGATCCGGCCTACCTTCCGAGATTGTATAGGGAAGCAATGGGCCAAAACAATTGTCGACGAAGGATCTCTACTAATGACCTGTGGACCCCTGCTATGCATGCTCCTGTAAGGAGTTCTTCCTATTGCTCGAAGGTACAGTGTCATGGGTTCTTTATGATTTTAAGCCTCTGCATTGCAAAACGTTTTTCTGATTTCCGTTGTTGTTCATTATTGAGCTTACATTTTCAAAATTAAATTTTTTAAAAATCTCTTTATTGTCGATTTTAATACGTGATTGTTGTGTTGTATTCATTGTGGACATTATATGCAGTTTTTTTCTAAACATTTCCAAATTCAGAAACACATTCTCTTCTTTGCTGTGCTGTTTGACAGTCAGAATAAATTTTTCTGAACTTTGTAGACTGTTGCAAAGAAGAACTGTGTTGTCTGCATCTCTTAATTTTGGGATAGGTTTTTGGGATATGTGTATACATACAATTTTGAGTGGATCAAAATTGTCACAAACCTCTTCACTAATTGCATTTCTCAAAATGTTTTCTACATATATATTAAAAATGCATGGAGAGAACATGCAGCTCTGTCTTACCCCTGTAAGCATTTCAAACCTCCCCGATGTTTCATCAGCTACTCTGACTGCTGCTTATTGTCCATGGTAAGGAGATTCCATTAAATGCACCCGATTAGATGTTCTGGTGGAGGTGTTCAGTGTATATTTTCTCAATCTCTTATTTGATTAGTAAACTTGGAAGTTAACCAGAAATCGTTTTATTATTGCCATTGACATACTGCCACCCTCTATACAAGAAGAAGCAACTGAAGTCGAATTCAGTGGCTAAAGGCTCTACCCCTTCTGAAAGTGCTTGTCGTAAAACCCCTGAAGACTAGTGATTAGGGATTAGTGATTAGAAAGGATTATCATCACAGCACTCCGGACAGATCCATAGGTGCAGCATCTCATCCTCAAAAGCTCCACTAGAGTAAAACGACTGATGACGCCTGTTCTGGGCTAGTTAATGAAACGTTTTGTCCTCTTAGCGACATGTTTATTTCTTGCAGCTCCAGGCTGCACTCATGTCCATAAGTCTAGACATGGATACGGAGTCATGTCCTTTGGCTTGCTCCTCTGTATGGTAAGTGCAGCACATGGTATCGGTAATATCACTTCTGTCCAGTACTGGACCAGCCATAGCAACTGCAGTGTCAGCAATGTAGTTTCCACGCTCGTTCCCTTGAACACCTGCATACCTGGCACAAAGATGAGGGTTAGGGCAGCTATTCTTGAAATGCTTAGCATTGCAGTCCATTCTTGCCTGATAAATATAGCCTGGAATTTTTAAAGCATATTCATCGAGTCACTAAGAATGCATACGTGTGTGAACTTTTGAGTACCAAGCCATGCTGATGTATTGTTGTAGCCATTAGTTCCCATTGCAAGGCTACTAGTTGTAACAACAAAGGCGCCATTCATCTCCTTGATGATTTCCTTCTTGAGCTTACTTTGAATGCCTATGTACTTCGCTTGCCCCGAATTAATGACCCATCTGTGTAAACTATAGCTTCACCTTCATCTGTGGTTTCGTCAATCAGTGTTCTGACTAAAGTGTCAACATTGCCAGGAATCTGCTCTCTACCGCTTTCATCAAGTGTATTGTGAACTGTAATATTAATGTTTGGAGAAGGAGGCATAATTATCCATTCAATTCCAAAATTAATGTCATCAAGGCGGCAAACATGTCCGATGGAATCCTTAGCCCGACCCATCCAGGATTTGCCCCGTTTGCGTCTACTCTTTTTTTTTTTTGTTTTTTGCTTGAATAATTTCTTATAAAGTGGGTGTTGATGGTCTGACTTCACTTTGAGGAAAGCAACCGCCCTGGATAGCTTGATTCTGTTTTCTATTGTGGGGAAATCCAAGAGGTATCGCATGGATTTACAGGGGGTCTCTAGTGCATCCAGGAGTAAAATGCATTGCATCGTTTTCAATTTTTTCCAGTCTGGTTATCTGTGTGGTGCTGAGTGTCATGATGGTCGAGGCATATTCAATGGTGGAGAGAACCAACGCACGATACATTACAAGTAGCCGTTGCTCAAAGTTTGCAGCTCCTATAAATTTTATTGCGTAGAAACCTTTCTTGGCTTTGGTTATAATGGGGTCTACGTGTTTTTAAAATCCTAAACCCCCTGAAGACTCACATAATTAATACTTTCCAGAATAATTTTTTAGTATAAACGAATTAAAAAAGTGTCGGCATACTTCATTTGTCGGCGTCTGTGGCTTCGGCGTTGCTGACATGGAAAACTGCAGTGAAGATTGCACAGGACAGTAAAGAATGGAAAGTCCTCTTTGAAGCCTTATGTTCTACTTGGCATAAAGAGAACTGATGATGATGATGATGAAGTAGTTCCAATAGGTTAATTGCATATCCTTTACAGGACGTTGCAGAACCAACCCCAACAGCCCCTGGCTGTTGTGTGGGTTTTCTAGGCAAATTTACGTCCAGTAGTTTGCCATTGCTCACTGGACGGTCGGCTCTCTTGATGCCACTGTCGAAGCCAATGCAAGGCGCATGGCCCGCAGATGGGATCTAACCCGGCATTCCGGCATTACGAAGCGTTCTCATCCACTTAGCCACAGAGCCGACAGTTCCAATAGAAGAATCGAAAATAGACACCATGAAATTAAACGAAACGCAATATGACCGGCATGTTATACTATTAAATAGGTTGCAGAAATTGTGTTGCATTTCTAATTAAGTAAATATTGAATTTATCGTAAACTTTTTTTTTTTAAAATGCAGGTAGAATATACTGGACACAGTTATCTAGCAAGTCGATATTCTATAGCGCCAGGTTGCCAGCATGATAAAAAGAGAAGATTAAAAAAACAAACACACACACATTCTACGCTACACTTCAAAGTAAAGCAATGACATTGGTTGACTCGTTAGGTGCCACTTTTGTCAAGACTCACTGTTATCGACACTTACACAAGCCTTGTATTAAATACAGTCTGAATTGGCCGTTAGGTTTTACTTAGCAGCCGAAGCCAGCAGTTAATGAATAAACGAGATAAACGTACATACAATGATTGATCCCACTGCAGATTCCTACGTTCTGGAACGTATGAATTTATTGAAAGTAATGAAAGCATCAGTCATCAGTTGTATTTTTTTAAGACTTTATTTTAGCTTACGAAAAAGTGATTTCACATGTAAACTATCATATGTAACATTAACCGCATATGTAGACACACACATACATACATGTGTATCTTCACATTAGGTTTTTTTTTAGTACAAAAAAAAAAGGTGCAGATACTCACCACAAAGTGTTTAAAGAGGTGACACCCTCCATGGCAAAGTGGCTGTTAACATTTTGGAGTTTCAGTGCCAAGAAGATGGCGCTTTCAGGAGGGAATGCTCTTAGTTAACATTAAAAAAATATTTAAAAAATAAAGCATTTGATTAATGTATACAAAACTATATATATAATCATGTAGGAAATTATATGAACTAACACAATATTTTTGAATCCCACTGACATCTCAGCATGTATTCAAAATAGCTATCAAATTTGCATATTTATTCACGCATTTTGAAAAAATTTCTTTGGACAGACATGACTAATTGAACAATCTGGCTGAATTTTCTGATAAACAAAGCCTGAATAAGTCCTAACACTTGTGTTCTGGTAAGCAAGGCCCACTTGGGCCGTCTAGTACCTCCAGCACATGGTTCTACTCCTTTTCCTGCCTCCTACTATATTTTAGTTGCTATCATGCAACAGTCCTTTTTACTATTGTTGGCCACTGGTCATTCCTGCCCCCCCCCCTCCCTCCCCGACCCCCCTCCCGCAATTGAAAAAATAATAATTGACGTACAATTACAGAATGCATCACACTTTCACGAAAACGGCCACTAAACAGCCCACATATGCAAGAAATGGGAGAAGCAATCTGATTAACTGGTATAAGGACCAGCCATAAAATCTCAAGGCTTATATTACTGGGCTGACAGATCGGTCCAGCCGTCTTTTTGGCTATTTTGCTGTTGGGTTGATAGAACGGCCCAGTCGTCCCTAAAGAGATGACAATCCTTTCTCTTTGTCTTTCTTTGACTCTTTTTTTTTCTTCAGATTTATTCACTTTTCACAACATGGTGTAGTTTTATTCTTCTCATAACAGGACCGGAATCGATGGCTGTCTCTTTCTGATGTTTGTGATGAGTTGTCTTCAAGCCCTCACCTATTTCAAAACATCTGGGTTGCTCCTTTTTATGCTGTCCAAGAAATTCTAATGATTCTTCTGTAAAACCATATCTCTAAGGCCTATAGACATATTTTTGGCTTGTTTATGAATTGTCCATAAATAAATCAATAAATAAATAAATAGTATATTTATAACTTGCAGAAAGTCATGACCTGGAAGTATAAAGCCAAAAAGTATGGGCCAGCTTGTGTCTGGTATGGTTGTGGAATAGGAGCTTCACTAGCTTATATATATCCTCACACTCTTGGGCTTGAAAAATACAAAGAGGCTATCACAGAGACGTCTGAAGGCAAGCCTGTGGAACTTGACAGTGAAATTGCCGTCGTGGCTCAAGAGGTGGTATTTTATTTCTGTGTTATTTTCTTGTATATTTTCTAACTCTTTTGGTACCAAGCAGCAAATCATGTATGGTAAATAAGTTTTGTATAAATCCCAAATATTACACAGTATTTTCCGTTACTTTTTGCATTTGATCACAGAATACCAAAGAAATCTGCCATTCCCAATTGCCTCTAAAATCTTTATACTTGTGATTTTTCATAATGGTTGCTTCTGTCTTTATACAACTGCTGTGAAAAGTTCTTGACTGAAAGAGTTAAAGTTTATTTTCATTAAATACAAGCGCTAATTTATAGGTCTGGATAAAACATGTAGCATATTGCTTTTCTTTTCATAGAGACTCTCAGTAATATGCCTTGTACTCAGAAGATTGTGGGTTCGATTTAGTATAATATTCTTTGGATCATGGATTTGTAACTATACTGTATGCCTAAAAACTAGTTATGACCACGAAGCAGAATAACTGTCAACTGATTGGTTGAACCCTAAGGAATTCTCATATGCAATTTGAATAATTTCAGTGAGTAAATTAAAAAGATTTTGAATGTCAAAACTATGACAGAATGTTTAGTAACAATTACTGTCTTTTTGTTATTGTTAAGTAAAATATGTGTTTTATTTGTAAAGATTGATTAGTTTTTCCCCCTTCATTTTCTTGAATTAAAGCGTCAGGAATTAACATCATTTGAATTAATGAGTCAGGAATTAACAGCAGTTGAATTAATGAGTCAGGAATTAACATAACTTGAATTAATCAATCAGAAATTAACAATACATAAATTAATGAGTCAGGAATTAACATCAACACCCTTGGGATATTCCTAGCTTATGCTCCATCGCTTTCATCAGTGGTCAACAGTCTGTTCACATGCTGAGAGCGCCACTGAGTAACTTCGGGATCCTTTGCTCGCTTCCCACTGAATCAGTCTCGCTAGGCATCTTTCATCAGTCTCTCATCACAGAGAGCTTTGACTATATTTGATAATGTAGATCATAAAGTAGACTATGTCTGTATGAACGGGCATTGTATAGATTGATGTCCATATAAACTGGCATTGTACAGATTGATGTCCATATGAACTGGCATTGTATAGATTGATGTCCAAATGAACTAGCATTGTATAGAATATGTTCATATGAACTGGCATTGTATAGATTGATGTCCATATGAACTGGCATTGTACAGATTGATGTCCAAATGAACTGGCATTGTATAGATTGATGTCCACATAAACTGAGTATCTTCAGGATCCTTCGCTCGCTTCCCACTGAATCAGTCTCGCTAGGCATCTTTCATCAGTCTCTCATCACAGAGAGCTTTGACTATTTTTGATAATGTAGATCATAAAGTAGACTGATGTGATGTCCGTATGAACTGGCATTGTATAGATTGATGTCCATATGAACTGGCATTGTATAGATTGATGTCCAAATGAACTAGCATTGTATAGTTTATGTTCATATGAACTGGCATTGTATAGATTGATGTCCACATAAACTGGCATTGTATAGATTGATAGCCACATAAACTGGCATTGTATAGATTGATGTCCATATCAACTGGCATTGTATAGATTGATGTCCATATGAACAAGCATATGAACAATTTACATAACGAAGTGGCAACATCCAGAAAGAAAGCTGAGACCAGGCCAAACCAAGAACATCACAATAACTACCAGCATGCAAAAGCAAAATTTGTAAGGGCAAAGCTGCAGGTTATAAGGGAAAGCTGACAGGAGAAAACAAGGTCGCTGAACTTTAAAAAAAGACACCAGAAAATTATGGAAGCTTGTAAAACAAATTAATGATGAGGTCACAGGGTGGAACTCAAAGATCACAAGATGGAAACAGGGTCACTGGAAAAGAGGCAGCCAACCTCTTTGCAGACACTTTTGTTAGAAAATGACATTAAAATCAGTTCAGAGAAAAAACAAGAAATTCAAGAAAAGACACAATTCAGAAGTCAGAAAGAAATAACATCAGAGGTGCTAAAGGTGTCAGTTACACTTAATGAACTGGAGTTGGCCATTTCAAAGCTGAAAATGCGGAAGTCACCAGGAGCAGATGGTATATCTAACGAAATTATCAGAAACTTAGGAACAGTAGCCAAAACAAAGCTTTTACAGATATTTAATGCTTGCTGGGCAACGGGAAATGTTCCAAAGATCTGAAGAGATACCCCTCATAAAGCCTGGGAAAAACAGTTCCAATGCCTCCAACTACAGACCGATCAGCCTCACAAGCTGTCTCTGCAAAACAATGGAGCGCATCACCAGCCTCAGACTACAATGGTACATTGAAAGTGAAAACATCATTACACCACAGCAGGCGGGCTTTAGAAAGTTCTACTCTACGGAAGACCAGACAACATACCTCTCCCAAGAAATAGGTGATGCTTTTCAAGATAAGAAGCGGCATGTATAGATTTAAGGAAAGCTTTTGACAAGGTTTGGAAGGAGGGGTTTTTAAAGAAATTGAGAAACTATAAAGTAAATGGAAGAATGTAGAATTGGATTAAAGCATATCTACATAACAGAAGAGCCTTGGTACAGGTAGATGGTTTCAAAAGTAAAAAAGTTCTACTGCGACAAGGCGTCCCTCAAGGGCGGTGTACTGTCACCCACACTTTTCCTCTTATTCATCAACGACCTGGTTGCTGAGATACCAAATGGAATCAAAATGGCAATGTATGCCAACGACCTGGTACTGTGGTGCACAAATAAACATGCAACGATAGCCACAAGAACACTACAGCCGGCATACTACATATGCACTTGAAGCATGGGCGAATAGATGGTGTGTCAGCATCAACACAGACAAATGTAGCACCACACTCTTCACTCTCTCCCCAAAGCAAAAAGCGGGCATCATCAAAATAAAAGGAAAACCCCTTAGAGATGATAAAGAGCCCATGTACCTCGGAGTCACATTTGATGACAGGTTGACATGGAGAAAACATATCAATCAGGTAGCAACCAAAGCCAGGAGGAAGAGAGCCATACTAAGAAAACTAAGTGGAACCACATGGGGAGCCAGTGGGAAAATACTCAATAGAGTATACAAGCAGAGCATACTTCCACACTTGGAATATGGGTCAACTGCATTGTGTTCAGCATCTAGTACCACATTAAAGGAGTTAGACAAAGTGCAAAATCAAGTGCTCAGAGTCATCACAGGAGGGATGAAATCAACCCCCATATTAGAAATAGAGAAAGCTGGGAAAACACAGCCACTGAGAGAACGCAGAGATACAAAGTTGCAAATACATGCTGAAAAGTTCCTCAGTATGCAAGATCACCCCATGAAAAATAGATTTCAGAACCTAGCCTTGGGATGGTTAAAAAGGAGCAGCTTTATACACCAAGCAAAAAGAATATGTAGACAAACTACTGACCTTCCAGAAATTGGTTGTCTACTTAAAAGTATCCCAGAACAAACCCCTATGGAGAGAAAAATGCACATTAACAGTACAAATAAAAAAAAATGTGAAAGGAATATTTAAGAGCAAGATAGTGTACAGCACAGAATGGCCACCCTTAGTTATATTGATGAAGAATACCCACAAGAACAATGGGTCCGAGTCTATACAGATGTGTCTGCACAAAGTGCAGTTAGAAATGGTGGTGCTGGATTGTACATAGAATTCCCAGATGGTACTAGGGATAAGTCCAGCGTACCAACCAGGAAGTACTGCCATAACTATGATGCAGACACTCAGGCTATCAAGATAGCAACTGAGAAACTGCTAAATATCAATCTTGGCTTACAGTATGTGGTAATGCTGACAGATGCAAAATCCATGCTTGAAGCACCCCAGTCTAGGAAACTACCAGAATTGCAAACACTGCTGACACAACTCAGCCTTCAGCGAAGAGTCGTAATGCAGTGGATACAGTCTCATTATGGAGTGCCTGGAAATGAGAAAGCTGATCAGCTTGTAGGGGAGGGTGCGACAAAAGTGCAGCAGAATGTACCAGTCACATACTACCAAAAGAAAAGAATTGTTAAATCGATCAGGAAACCACCAGCCCCAGCACAAGATGACTTTTTTTATTATGGACAGATCAGAACAAGTCATTATCCTCGACCTCAGAACAGGGCAAAACCGATCGCTTAACCACATGTACACAAAATTCGAGATAAGCGTATCAGCCATGTGCACCTGTGGAAATGTGTCCCAGACAGCAGAGCATGTACTCCAGGACTGCACCGAATTTGACACATTAAGACAAACCTTTTGGCCAGAAAAAAACAACATCAAATCCAAATAAATGTAGAGGAATACAGTGTGAAACCATATCACTAACCTCTAAGCCACAAAAGTCAGATGTTGTCATTTTCCTTATGCAGATCAACTGTCATGTTTGTAGCCCCCCCTCTCCCTCCTCCTCCTCCCCTTTCATGCAGACTGAGTCATTTTAGAGGTGTCCTTTCTTTCATCCAGTCATGTTTACAGATATGACCTTTTCTTCGTAAAAATATTCATGTCTTGAACTATATTCTTTTCCTTAAACAGATCAAAAACCATTTCAAGTGGCGGCAGTCCTCTCTATTCAAGCGTCCAGATTTTGACTTTGTTCAGACAACACAGCCACTGGATTTTGTCCAAAGAGGTTCAGTAACTTCCAGATGGGGTGCAGTTATAGGAGTTCCTATTTTATTCACAACCAGCTCACTGCAAGCAGCCAGAGAGAGCCCTGTGACTGTTTTACAAAAGTACAACATCAATGTAACTGAAGATGAAGGAACAAATATACTTGAATTCTTTACACTGAGTCCAGCAGCAAAGAAATTTGCACTTGCTAGGGAAATGTACTTAGCTGACTCATTTTATATTTTTGCCAGTGTTATTGCAATAAATCTGGCCTTCTTTAGCACATATGCAGTTGGAGCAGGTCTATCAAATGTATTGTCACTTTTCCTTCCTGGACCAGGGGCTGTTTTAATTTCTTTCCTCAGTCTTATTCCAGCACTGGGATATGGCTGTATAAAGTTTCATGACTGGTACACTCGTGTTATGTTGGCGAAGTCAGACAAAGAAGCTGCATTTATGGACTCGGAGGTAGCAGCAGGTGGGATTGAATATTACTCCACACTTATAGCCCGTAAACAAGTGCAAGGAAATGTCAGCAGCTCTGTTGATACAGAATCTCTATTTGACATGAAGTGGAGAAAAAAAGAGCTTAGTTTTGAAGAAAGGAAACAGCGTCTTGAGAAGGCATTAGAAAAGTTAAGCAGCTAAACCACAATAGCTATGCCACTGGTAGAATAGACTTGTAGGGCTTACCTTGTCGAACAGGTCAAAGGATAAATGAATACCAGATGAAGTTACAAACTTGCTATTTTGTAAGTAGACTGGGGACATTTAAATATTAAGGAAAGCAAATCCACAGTCGGCCACATTTGGGTGTACTTCAGCCACAGGCTTGACAAAATAAATAAAAAATGAATATCGCCTCATTGTGACTGTTTTTGCTCACACTTGCACTGTTTAAGGATTGCATGAATATGTTAATGAACTCAAACTGACAGCTGGTTTTTCTTAATATATTCATGCTGTTGTTTAAACTTCTACAAGAAATTGCAAAGCTGTTGATAACATTTAATTTATAATGATTTAAAAGGGTCATAACCTGAATGCATTGAATCACCTACAGTTTTAACATATTGTACCTGAACTCGTCACCATTACTAATTATTATAGTCTCCTTGTGCAGCTGGCCAAATGGTTGCAGTGTGGAATTCTCATGCAGGAGACTCAAATTCGACCCCCTGTAAGGTGAGGGGAGTTCATCTGTTGGAGGCATAAAATAAACATCCTAACCTGCACAGTCTGTGGCAACAGCACTATCAATACAGCCATAAATCCTTAGGCTCACAGTCCCCAGTTTACATTGCCATAAAAGGCAGTAACTACAGACAGCAGTGACATAGGTCTGCTTGTATGTAAAAGCAGTTACTTTAGTTTTGTATGTTCGTTTTACCGAAAGTGTTTCTGTGGTCATTTGTGAGCTCATCAGTTCTGTAAGAAAGTGAACACTTGGCTCATTCATTTTATGTAAATTAAACTTTGTGACCTCCATAGTTTGTAAATTAAAAGGGTTTTGTAATTGAAGTGAGTTCTGTTCCATTCATAAAAAGCCTTCATTATTTCTACAGCTTTTTGGGGATAGGGTGGAGGAAGAGGATTGCATTTGTAATCAGCAGTAATCATGACAAATATACTCAGAAAAGTAAATGGTTACCAAGATTGCATAGATTGGTGCATGCCCATTTTATTAATGTTCATGCTGGTTAAAAATTTTTCCTAGTCTCTATGCTATTTGCTGTAAAATGAACATCTGATCTGTTGGTAATCTCCCAATGTGTCTTCGAAGTATTGTTTTAGCCTGTTTAGGAGTACCGCCTATAGTATTTTATAACTTGTAGATAATAGTGATATTCCTCTATCATTTTCACACTTATACTTGTCTCCTTTCTTAAAAATGGGCAATAATAAAGGTACTTTCCATTCATGAGGTAACTTCTCCATCTTCCAAACTAGTTTTATTAATTCATATATCTTTACATGTAATACATGACCACTTTCTTTAATAAGTTCAGCTGCAATTCCATCAGCGCCAGTTGCTTTATTGTTTTTATGCGTGTTAAAATCGAGCTCTTCAATATTTGGTTCACATGTTAATATCTCTTCTTTAAGCGGAGTTTCACAGTTCAACAATTGTGAAGCAAAGTATTCCTTCCATCTGTTACATATTTCCTCATTATTATTTATCATGTTCCCATTGTGATCTTTTAAACTATAAATGCTTTGTTGAAGTCCTCATTTTACAGCCTTCGGTTCTTTTAAACAACTTTCTAGATTTGCTGTTATGATGGTTAGCTTCCATATCCATGACAATGTTGTTCATGTATTCTCGCTTATCAGGGGCTGCGTGGTCTCGAGGCATGGTGTCCGCCTCAAGTGATAGAGGTTCTGGGTTCAATCCCCGGTAAGGGCTGGGATTTATTCACAATGACTTGTTGAAATTATAAGAAAATTCCCCCTGGTCTTTCGGTAGTGAAATCGGACGCCCATGTGCATTGTTGCGCTCGTAAAAAATCCCTTGGCAGTTGGAAATTGAAAAAAAGTAGCCTAACGGCGCTGCCTGGCAAAATTAGGAGTTGAAAATCAACCCAAAGTATTTCAGGATACTCGCTGGTGCTAGAGAGCCTGGGCACTGTGCTGAGCTTCTTCGGACTCGGACTTGAGTTAAAAGAAGAACAGAGCACTTATGGATTACACACGTGTGTCATGATGTTGATCCTTTGTTCAAAACCTCAAAAACCTGGCTTTTGGTGCCCAGCTACATTTGCAACTTCTTTACATTCTGTTCTATATTTTTCTTCATTTCGTACATTACTAGTATCATTTAGCCAAATCTGCCTGGCATGTTTTTTCTTACTGACTGCTTCTTCACATTTTGTATCGAACCATTTGTTCTTTCTGTTTATGGTGGACACACCAAGACATTCTTCTGCAGTGGTTTGAATTATATTCTTAATATCTATCCAGGTTTGCTCAACATCTTCCTCTGACGGAAATGGTAAAATTTAAGTTTTATGTTTTAATTCATCTGCAAATTTCTTTGATAGGATGATTTTTGTAATCTTTCTCTATTGTACTTTGGATGTGATCTTTGTAACTTGGTGTAAAAGGATCTGTTTAACTTGATTTTTTATTTTGCACCTACCAGGTTTTGGTCATTATGACACTCAGCTCCTCTGTAGCTTCTAACTTCTTGTATATTCAATGCATTTCTATTATTTGTTAAAATATGATCTATTTGATTATAAGTTATCTTGTCACATGATTGCCAGGTTTGTTTATGTATATCTTTTCTTTAAAATCTGGTGCTGCTTATCTGTAGTCCTTTCGCTGTAGTGAGGTTGATTAATCTCCATCCAATATCGTCTTCTTTGCTCTGTTATATTTTTCTAAGCTTGTCAGTTTGACATTCCAGCCGTTCTGGCACTTTTGATAGCAACATTAGCTGCCTTATGCATTTTTTTCTTAGCCTGTGCAAGCTTTAAGATTTTGCAGGGACTGACAAGTTTTCAAATGGGACAGTGAAGGACATTTTTTTGTGCATGGCACAGGAACTGAGCAGTTATGGGGCTACCTATCTGCAGTCACGATGGAACCTCGACTAATAATATCATAGCTCATATACCTCTTTTTTTATCAGTTCTCTATATTATATAAGTGTATAAATATGAATGAGTGCTTCTATATGGCTTTTAGATTAGTGAGCACATTTAGTTTAATTCTCAACCAACCAGGGTTGGACTTCCCATGTGAGCTGTTCAGAAAAAGACTGTTCTGGTGGCTTTCAGAAAGTGGAATGGTCCAGACCTGATCAGGAAACTCACCGAGAACCCAAGAAATGGTGGTTCTTTTAAAAAATTCCTCTTATCCAGATGAAAGTTTAAGCAAGAAAATTTGCTGTGGGGTAAATAAATGGTTTTCTCACAACAGAAATTCACATCCGAAATCGCCTTCACTGGTCTGCACTGTACAAGACTGGCATCAGACCCCAAAGAGCATTGATATACAGATACAACGATAACAGAGCCAGAGGTCGACCACACAGAATATGGACCGCACAGAAGATTAGACACACTGAAAAGTACTATATACGAAGCCAACATGAGGGCCCATTCCAGAGATCTCTTCCTGCCCTGATGCAAGTGAGACATTCCTGAAGTCGAGAAAAGAAGACTGTACAAGAGTTGTGCTGTGGAGGAGACAGGCCTGCCTTCCATGTAGTATTCCCAAAGTTAACAGTAGAAGCACTACAGCCAACCCCCAGTAATAAACCATCTGCCTCTCCTGAGAAAATTGCTTCATTCACAGTGACAGCTGCTGGAGCCACAGTGGCATAGCTGCTAGATGCTTGACTACTGGTCCAAAGGTCTTGGGTTCAAATCCACATCTTCCTTTAAGTTAGAGTGCGTCTGCCTGAGAGACAAGGACTCAACAGTCTCCATACAAATAAGCCAGATCTGTAAAATCTTTCAGAGAATTCCTGTGACATAGGTTTCATCACTCCCTAAAGGGGTTTGGTGTTAGACGCAGTTTGTCTATGTTTTTGGAGCGTTAAAAGCGCTGGCATGCTGAAATATAGAACACTTGATATCAACCGCATTGCAGAACACCCCTGTCACCGCGTGCCAAGGTCATGTGGCTCAAGGTCGACCAATCAGAAGTAAGCTAGGCTGAAGGTCGACCAATCAGAAGTGAGGTAATGTGTAAATGGGGGGGGAAGGGGGGGGGAGGCGGGCTAACTTTAGTTTTACCTGAAGGTCAGATTATAGATTAATGGAGGCTGGTGATATCAGCAGCAATGAACCCCAAGGACTCAGAATTCTGAGGAAGAAGAGCTTGCGGTGACAGCTGAAATATTAAATTCTGAAGGGACACATTCAATGACTGCTCCTGGTTAAGAAGTAAACCGAGTTTGCTGCCAGCATACAGTTAATTGTTTTAAAGAAACCATTACCAAAAAATGTGTGAGAGGAAATGATCTATAAAGTAAAATCAGTCAGCATTGTACTAACTTTATCTTCAGCATGTTATTGATTGCCCTAACCCACTTAAGTCCTGACTAGTTTATAAAAACTTGGCACAATAAACCAAAAACACCTCACTGCACGAAGAACACTCCTTCACTGTCCTTACACATGATCTGTGCTAGGATAATGATTTTTCCCAGATCTTAAAAACAAAAACAAAGCACAATCTGTAGACAAGAACAAACACCCTTCAGGTACTGCCATTTATCTCCCTCTCAATCTGCTTGCTGCTCATTCTGTAACCAGTCAGATGTCTAGTTTTGACTCTAAAAGCTGGATTGTTTGAGTTAGTAAAGATAAAACATAAATCAATTTGTACAAGCACAGAAGAATTTCAAGAGGAAAGACTCCAGAACCAAAATATTGTTTTGAGAGTGAACTTTTCTTGGGCAATCGGTTAAAAAATATGCACCATATAGCACCTGGCTTTTTAAACCTACATTTTACTTAAACATTCCTCAAAGACGAGTTTCATAGTTTACTCCTCCATTTTTAAATTCTGCTGTAATGATAATGAATAAGATAAAAAACCTGATTTGTTATCATCCTTTATATATTTATATTGCAAGCATAATTTTTATTTAAAACCTACATGTAAGAACATAACAAAGTCATGTTTCAGAAAGA